TTTCGTATACAATGATATAATATCATTGGATTCAAATTTAATTCCATCCATTACAGTAACCCACTTGTAACCTACTGTACAGCAGAGCGACATACACGACTTACCCGCTTTTTTATATTTTGTTATATACATAATATATACAATTTATTTACTGTTTTTACATTGTAAATTACTTATAAATTAAAAGTATATTATCATTATTGTTTTTATAATTGTTTAGTTTTAAATGGTCAAAGCTCATGGCTATGTTGCAAGGACGCCGCAAGGTGGTACAACCTTTCCAAATGATAACAATATCCACAGTTTTCTATTGACATAAAAATAATGATAAAAAATTAAATTACTTCAAATTTTAATCTGTTGACACAGTCAAAACCTCTTGAACGACCTATGTAAATTCATTGATGAATTTTCCACAATAAAAACAAAAACAAAGTATTACCTTATAAATATTTTATTCGATTTATATTAACTTGTAAAAAATAATATATAGTTACCTAAATAATAGTATTAATTATCTATACCAAATTTATCTACAAATTACAAGTGAAAACTTAAATAATATATGTTCACTAGTAAGTTGTTATGTTAATTAATAATTAATATACAATTTTACTAGACACTACTCAAAACAGAGTTTAAAATAAACTTTTATAAAATTGTTTAATTTAATAAGTGAATAAGTCTTAATAATTTATGTTAGTCAATCTATTAAGAGTTAAATAAATAAAATTAAAATATTCAATAAATGTTTTTTTTCCTTGTAGAGGATACCTGTATCGGTGTTTTAAAATTATTATAAATCACCGTTTAAATAAATCATACGCACGATTTATGCTTGACAGTTGAGGATAACGAAAATCAATAAATAAAGACAAATCATGCTTAAAGCCAATACTCAATAAATATAATTATAAAAAAATGAAAACATATTTTACTTAAAAAACTATATAAATCTATATTTTACATAAAATGAACTTTTAAAAAAGAGTTGTTTTTACAATTAAATCACGGTGGAAATGGAAACAATTATATTAACTGTATTATACAATTATATTAACTGAACCTACCCAATATTTTAGGGTCTTCTGTCAGTTAGTGTCTTGGTGTTTAATTTGAGCCACAAGGACAAGATGACCGAGACATACTACACACGTCACACATCACAATGCAAAAAATTGTAGATTGAATTTTTACATAATATGATTGTATAATATTGATTGAAAGATTGGAAGCGAAAAAAAATGTGTATTTGATTTACTAATAAAAAATAATATATGTTAATATGTTATACCTTAAATTTATATTCAATATAACCGTACTCAATACTCATTTTCCAGAATACTTAAAATAAGATTGTCTCTTATAATTGAATATTTGACAAAAATATATGGCCATATACTTGCCTAGTCAAATAGTCAACACATATTGTTCCCTGATTCCTGCAACCATTATAACAAATTTACCCATAAATGACTCTACATCAGCTGATCTAACACAATATCTTAACGCACCTATTAACACACAAACGTCAGATACATCTGAATAGATCAATATTAAATATCTATTAAACTACAACTCTATGTTTAACAGCTAGTACGCCTTATTAAAATTTATCAAAAAATTCATCGCGATTTTTTTTTTTAATTGGAAAATATTTAAATCATGTCTCAGTCCTATTAGGTATAATTTTCAATTATAAATATATATATATATATATTTATACAACACTAAAACTGCGTGGATAAAATAATTTATTAAACATTATAAGAAGTTCAAACTTAGTTCTGTATGCATAAAATATGCATTTCAATTCATGGTAAGCTAATAGTATGGCGTAATTACAAATCTTGACGTTCACAAAGTAAGTAGGTAAATACTAAATACACAATAATTATTGTCAAGCAGATACTCAAGATCCTGTCGTTGCCTTGGATATAATATTGTGTAATGAAGTATTTCCAATGACTACCCCACCAAATACGATTCTAAAATTTCATGAAATTTATTTTTTTTTTTTTTTTTAATATTTCATTAATTTAAATTTAAATCTAGAGTAGAAATGACATTGAAATATTTTTACATACCTAGTACATTATACAAATTACATAAAATTCCTATAAACATACTTTAAAAAATTTCTAAACACATGAATTACCTATATCGATTTCATAATTCACGTTTATTTAATATTTTATAATTATATAGATTATAACGAATATTAGGTCATAAGTTAGAAGTTCGGAATGTTAAGTTTGAATAAGTGCCACTTTTGTTGGTATATTATATATTTTGAAAATTAGAATTATTAGTTTTAAGCAACTTGATATCTAATATTATTAAAAAAATTTACTTATAAAACATGATTTAAGCAAGGCATAAAGCCATACAATTAAAACGTACAAAATAATAAGTAATTATTTAAATAGTGTTATAATTTATTAGTTCCATAAGTAAGCTTATCTGCCGCTTTAATCAAAACATTTTTCGATTGATCGTATTTCTTTAAAGTATAATTAAGAAAAATAATTTTAATTTTAAAGTAAGTATCTATATCCTAAACAAATTGTATTAATCAATGAGTAATTTTAATAAAGTTATATCTTTATAATTTTTTCAAGTGTTATTATAATAATCGTACTAGAGTAAAATCATTTTTTCAATATTAAATATATTTTAAATAACATTATGTTTATCTTGAATAACTTTTTTTTTAATATTTGAGATTAATTTTAATCTATTCCGTTATCATAGAATTCAATACATTCGAGAGCTATTAACTATTAAGTAAATATATATTATGTACTATTTTCTTTATAATAAGTTGCCAGCACTTAACTACATTAATTTGTTTCCTATTGTTTTAAAAGTCGTTGTTTCATAAATAAGAATTATTCGCTAACCAAAAATATCAATTATTTTAAAAATTAATTTTGAAAAATGAATCTTGCACAACTAAAGTGTCATTTAAAACTGGTAAGTCTTAAGTGTAATCAAATTATACAACAGACTATACAAGTTGTATAATTTCGCTGTTAACATTTGAATTTTTTTTTTACATTTAGCTATTTTGTTCAGTTTCATTATGTTTTGCTGATATTATAATTGGTAGTTCATATGTCTACTCATCTACACTGTTGGCACAACTTCGTGAACCTTCATCAAATATAAAATTAAAAATTGAACAAGAATCTTGGATTAGTATGTAACAACCTAAATTTTTATGCATTGATAGGTAACTATAAGTTTATAATAGCGATATAAAAGAATTTAAAAAGTATATCAGTGAATATTCAATATTTTTTTTAAATACCTACTTATTGATAAAAGTGTGAGTTAACTCCACAAATTTGTTATTTTTCAAAAGGTTTTTATTTTAGTTATTAGCTCTACCCATAACACTAAAAATGCGTTCAATTAGGTATAGGTATATTTATAGGTAACTATATTTCATTAATTTCATTAATTTCTTTGAAAATAAAAATCTTTTTTTTTTATCTCAAATGGATGTAATTTGAATTTTAAAAAATTTATCAGTCCTGAAATATAATCTCCTTGGTCCTTGTACAAAATCATATAAATGTAGTTTGGTGTGTCACGGTGTTTCGCTTCAATCACAAACGTTATGATTGTGAGCATGAGTGTCACTATGGTTTCCAAATAACTAACCACCCAATTTCTTAGTGTTAAATCTTTGCACTCATACACATATACCCAACCTATCGAAACATCCAGTAACCATGTATTTGATACCATAAAATTAAAATAATTTTGAAATAGCGTGAAATACTGTGTTTATATAAATACGATAATACTTATAATTTTAACATAGTAATTAATCTTGTATTATAATTCTAACTTTAATATTGGTCATCATTAGTTAAGTGCAGAAAGTTCAACACAAATGAAAGTGCGTATCGTATTTAAAGACTTATAATAACTCTGCCGTTCTAAGTCACTAACTTGGTATCTTTAAAGAAAAAATGTTTAAATCTAATTTTCTATTGAAACCATTCTCAATCCTAATCTTAGTCGTTCAGATAACATTTAAACATTGGAAAAAAGGGCGGTGGTAAACTCGCCCGATTGTATGGTAAAGTCTCCCGATTTTTAAAACTAGTAAACTTTCCCGATGGTAAACTCTCCCGGGTAAATATTATGTTTACCCGAAAGAAATGTGTAAACTCTCCCGGGTCAATACTATGTTTAGGTACCTGAAAGAAATGTGCGAACTCTCCCGAGTTATTTTAAATGTTATTGCTACTCTATCAATTGGCAGAGATTGTAATTATAATTTTTATTATGAATTGTATTACTGTATTAAATCTGTATTTATCTTGTGTTAACCTGTATTTTTCATTTAAATATTTAATTACCGTTAGGGTATTTTTAATTTAAATATTTAAAACGATATCGACTATAATGGCTCAACCAATTCTAAYTGTGTAAAACGAATAATACYCCATGCTCCCCAGCTAGCTTAGTAGTACTAAAGTAGACCCGGGAGAGTTTACATGTTTTCTTCAGGTAGTACTGAACTAGACCCGGGAGAGTTTACATGTTCCCGTCAGGTAGTATTGGACTAAACTCGGGAGAGTTTACCATCGGGAGAGTTTACATGCCATTAAAATCGGGAGAGTTTACAATCGCCCGGAAAAAAAGGATAAATTCAATAATTTTCTACCAACAGAAGAAAAAAAAAATCAATTCAGATAGAAAAATAGGTAGGTACAGTAATAGTAGGTAGATAACACAATATTATATAGGTGGTTTTTTTACCCTTCCTTACTATGCGTCATAGACTAAACAGTATATTCTATAGTTCCAATATATTATTAATGTGTACATAAATCGTTACATACATAACTGGCGAGAAATTAAAATTAAAATGATTAATTTTTCTATGGATATAACATACCTAATCATAAATAAATGTAAATTTATAAATAAAATTATAAACAGAAATCATTTAATATTATTTATTATTTGATGAACAATTCTTAACAACCTAGGTTGCAACAGTTATCATGCTGGACGAGCTACAGTCAATATATAATGAAAACTTCTTGGAAATTCAAGTCACGTATAATTTTCTTTTGTAAAGTAAAATGTTATATACATTTATGGGGGGAAGAGTCATAGATCCACTGATCTCACTATTTGTGAGAAGCTGACCAATTTCTACTGTTCTCCATGCAAACTTAGTAATTTTACTGGTTATCGAACAACTATTACCTATATGTTGACAATGAAAGAGTCGTGCGTATCGCGTACTGACGATATAATTAATAATTATAAATCTATAATCTATAAATATATATAAGACTATCAATAATTCTTATACGATTAAAGTTTATCAGAAAATAAGACAGTATAATAATGCATACCAAATACAACATTCTCTAAGAATAAGATAGTTGTGACACGACATTAATATTTATTTTTTTTTTTGACCATTATCATTGATCGCCACGGCTACTAAAAAATGAGCTGATGGTCGCGTGTTAAGCATATCTTCCAACACTAAATTGGCTGTATGTATTGGTAAAGCCGATGGCTAGACCCAGATCTGCCACGATACTCATCAGAGAGTGAATAAGATTGTCCTGCTAATGCGTGAATCGTCACCACCTCTCGATGAATTACTTGCTTGTTTTGGCGGAAAGCAATGTTTTCTAGTCACGAATTTACAGTTGAATTTTGGAAAGTTCCACAACACTGCAATGTTAAACTATTACTTGGTGTTTAATTCAAATGTATGATCTATTATCAGAAAATATTTTACATTTTTTAAAATAGATTTACATATGTTTTCCATTAAATGTGTCAAAGAATACCGGAATAAATTATACGGTAACTCATTTAAAGCAGATGTATCTTTTTTTCTCTTTTGATTATTATAATTAAAAATTAATCAAGTCCAATTTGATACACAAAAATTTCAAAAAACTTAAAGTTAAGTAAAAACAGATATCAAAAAAGCGGGTAAGTGGGTATCGCTCTGCTGTACATTAGGGGGTGGGGTGGACCTCTGACTAGGGTAGGTTAAATTTGAATGCAATGATAGGTATCATTGTRTAHGAAAAAYGATTCTGAACGGAGATGGTTTATCTGTCTAGGGTATATTATAGGTTATTAAAAATGTTCAAATC